TGAAACTGAAAAAAAAAAAAGAAGATGGGAAGCAATACTACTATCAAACATGGGAAGACTTTAAGACAAAGGACACATAACAAACAGAGAAGGCATTACATAACAATAAAGCCATCAACATAGCAAGAAGACATAGAAACTATAAAGATCTATGCTCCCAACAGAGGAGTGTCTAAACATATAAAACAAATATGAACAAACAAAGGGAGAAAAACAGAGTAATACAATAATAGCAGGGAATTTATAACACCCTATAGATGGACATCAAAGAATTGGCGATCTATACAGAAAATTGAGAAGGAAACAGGAGCTTTGAACAAGTTATTAGACCAGATGGACTTAACCAACATATACACAAGAATCCATCCCAAAACAAACAATACATATTTTTTAATGTGTACTTTCCAAAAGATATCACACATTAGGTAGAAACCAAATCTCAATAAACTTAAGAGTCAAATCCTATGAAGCATCTTTTCTAACCACAGTGGAAGGTAAGCTAGTAATCAATTAAAGGCAGGAAAAAACTGTAAAAACACACAAATACATAAAGACTAAACAGCATGATACTAAACAACCAATGGGGCAACAGGTACCACTAAGAGGAAAACCAAAAATACCTGAAAACTGAATAAAGATAGAAAAAGAAAAATTAAAATCTTTAGGACACAGCAAAAGCCCCTCTGAGAGAGAAATTTCTAGCAATACAGGACTACCTCCTGAAACAAAAATTTCAAATAGGCAGTCTAAAATTACCTCTAAAGGCATTAGAAAAATAAGAACAAAGAAAGCACCAAGTGAGAAGGAAGAAAATGATAAAGGCAGAATTAAATGATGTATAGTATTACAAAAATATAAAAAAGTTGCTTCTCCAGAGAGACAAAAATGATAAACTTCTAGTGAGACTCATCAGAAAAAGATAGAACACTCAAACACAATCAGTGCTGAAAGAGATGACATTAAAACATAAACTACGTAAGTACAAAGGATTAAAAGACATTACTAGAAAAAATTACACACCAATAAACTGGGCAACCTAGAAGATAGAAGAAATGGATAGGTTCCTAGAAACCAACACTTTCCCAAGTCTGAAGCAGGACGAAATAGAAAATCTGAAGAGATTGATTATTCATAACAAAAATGAATTGATAATAATAAAAAAAACTCCAAAGAAAAAAGCCCATCACAAAATGACTTCACAGCACAATTCTATGAAACATGTATAGACAAGGGCTGATATATATACTCAAAAATGTGAGGAATAAAGCACTTCCAAATTCATTCTACAAGGCCAGCATTACACTGACATCAAAACCAAGAAAAAAAGAAACACCAGAAAAATAGAAAATTACAGCCCAATAGCCCTGATGAACATAGATGGAACAATATTCAATAGAACATGAGCAGATGGAATTCAAAAATGCATTGAAAGGATCACTGACCACGACCAAGTGGGATGTTTTCCAAGGAAGCAACGATACATCAGTTATCAAGAAATCATTCAATGAGATACACCACATTACAAAAGGAAGGGTGAGAACTCTACAATCATCTCGAAACATAAAGAAAAAACCATTTGGCAAAATTCAATATCAATTCATGATAAATACCTCTAAAAACAAAGTGGGTTGAGAGGGAACATGACTCAATATTTTAAGGAAATATAGAACTCCCCCACAGCCAAAATCAGAATGGTGAAAAGCAGAAAATGTTTCCTATAGGATCAGGAACAAGACAAGGATGTCCACTCTCAACACTTCTTCAATACAGTACCTCAAGTCCCAGCCACAGCAATCAGAAAGAAAAAGAAGTCAGACAAGAAAAAGAAAAAAAGTTCCCCAAACTGGTAAGGAAGAAGTAAAATTGCCATTATTTGCAGATGGCATGACACTCTATCTAGAAAACACGAACAAATCCAACAAAAATGATTAAAACTAAGCAATGAATTCAGTAAAACTGCAGGATACAAAATGAATATACAGAAATATATAAAAAACAAATTTGCAGAAAGATAATGTAAGAAAACAATCCCAGTTGCAATTGTAGCAAAAGTAGTAAGAGATCTGGAGAATGTCTAACCAAGGAGGTGAAAGAGCTGTACTCTGAAGATGCTAAGATACTGAGGCAAGAAACTGAAGGTGACACAAGTTAATGCAAAGCATCTCATGCTCATGGAATGCAAGAATTAAAATGGTTGATATTAACGTTAAAATAAAAATTAGTAGTATTGTTAAAACTACCTGCAGCTCTGGGAGGAAACTGCAAGTTGGTGCAGCCACCATGGAAAGCAGGATGGAGGTTTCTCAGAGAACAGCTATGCTCTCTGTAATGCTATGGGATGAACACTGGGAAGGACACTGAATGGTGGCTTGCTAAGAATGCTAAAAGGAGTTACCTATCTGCCTCGTGTGACCCTGGAGGTAGAGAGCAGCAAGATGTTTGCTGAAATGGATCAAGTAGAACTTTCATGAGTTCAGTTTAGACAGACGAGGTTGTTCCCTGTGGAGACCTCGTAGGGAAAACAAAAATTAAGAGGGTGAACCTAACCCACTGGGCTTCTCCACTAAGAAGGGACAGTCCACTCTAGCAGACAGCTTCTTTCAGAGGCAGGAAGGGTGGGTCACAGGGGAAGCCCTGATTTGCAAGCAACCTGCCTCGTGGAAGGGGGTGGGAAGGATGATCTCACCTGTGACTATTCATGCTCCAGGGACCTCCCTGCTGAGGTCAATCTCCCCAGCAGCCAGCCCCAAAGTCTCCCCATCTGACTTCTCTGCTAGGCGGTTGTGGGGAGCCAGCTGCCTTCCTCAAGCTCTCCTAGTGCACAGGCACCCAGAGATACACACTGTCCCAGGACGCACAGTGCTCTAACACACAACACACAACCACATGTGCAAAAGCTACCACACACACATGGAGGGGAGCCAACACCACCGCGACGCACTCACCAGGGGGACAGGCCGCAGCCACGCAGCTGCAGGAACCTTGACACATCCCCTGAACTCCTACGCGCTGCCCCGTTTGGGAGCACAGAGGGCCCCTGGCCCCGGCGCATGCACCCTCGCAGTGCCCATGCTTGCGTGCCCACCTGCAGTGGGCCCGAACCATTACCTGCAGTCAGAGAAGCTGGCGGGCCTGGAAAGCTCCCAGATGAGACCTGGTCACCTTCCTGGCTGGGTAGGTGCATGCGCTGCCCATGGCTTTCCAACGCCCACACACAGCTTTTCACTTTCCTTCCAGGGCCCAAGCAACACCCCCAAACTCCCTGATAAAAAAGCCAACGTGGCGGCGGCTACTTACTATGAGCTGAAGCTGCTGAAAGTTGGCGAGGCCTGCTGGGTCCCTGGCAAGAGGGCCTCTGTTGGCAGAGGCAGGAGTCTGAGGGCCTCTAGCAGCGGGGAGCCCTGGGCGTCAGTGAAGGTCAGCATCAGCGGGAAGAAGGCACTGGAGGGCGGTGGTGGCAGCAGGCGTCCGGGGCAGGTGTCAGCGGGAGGCACCAGCTGGCGGGGACAGGCAGGAGGGCTCCGGGGTCGGTGGTTGCGCTTTGGTGGGGGGAAGCGGCGTCAGAGCTGTTGGCTTTGGCTGGCGGGGCCTGGGTGTCCGTTACGGGCAGACTCCGTCCCCTTATGACGTTGCCTCCCCTGTATCCCGGAACCGACACCAAACGACACCAACCGACACCGCCAACTGTCGCTCACGACCACCACTTTCCACCCTCAACCGACGCCATCACCAGCCATGGATGCTGCCCGCCCACTGCCAAGGCCACCGCCGCCGCCGCCGCCTCGCCCTCGCCTCTGGCTGTGCACCTGCCCACTGCAACATCGGAGGTCCACCCCGGGCACAGACATCTGCGCCTCCTGCCGCTGTGGACGCCACGGCCGCCCACGGAGGCAGCCCGTCCACCTGCAGCCCACCGCAGACCCCACTCCCCACTGCCCGCCGCCGCCTCTCAGGGTGCACCTGCAGACGGCAGGCTGGACTCTGCCCCCAGCTGCAGACCCCGCAGCGAGGCGGCCCAGCCTGCAGCCTCCCGCAGCGGATGCCTTCCCCACCCGATCCCTCCCCGACCTGACGCCGCCCGCCCCCTGGAGGTGGCCGCTTACCATGAGCTGCCCCTGCGAGGAGCACAGGCCTGCGTGAGGAAGAGGGTGCCGGGTCCCTGGCGAGGGGGGTCCCTGGCGAGGGGGGTCCCTGGCAAGGGGGGCCCCTGGAGCCGGCGGGAGGAGGCCGCGGGCGGTCGCTGTTGGAGGGCACCGGCAGGCAGCGCAGGGCTTTGGCAAGCGACAGCGGCTTCAGCGGGAGGCCTTGGCAGCGGAGTGGAGACACCGGCGGGCGGGCACAAGCAGAATGCTTCCTCTGCTGCAGGTGGCTGCACACTGTTGGAGAGAAGCATGGTGGGCACCAGAAGCGGGCGGCCCTGGCCGGCGGGACGAGCATGTGCGACGTTGGTTGGGAGCGGTCCCTGCCCCCAACGACGGAGGGCGCGGGCATCAATCCCACACTCCCCTCTCCGTGCAGCATCCCTGTGAAATAAATGGAGATAAGAAAACTGCAAAAGGAAACCGAGAAGTTTATCTAGAGGATAAAGAATTAAGGGGCAGGTGCTGTGAGAGTAAAAGTGAGAATAACTTTTCAGGTTGCATGTAGGGGAATGCTTAGTAATAATCTTCGGAACTGCCGTCAAGTAAATGAAATTAGGCATGTAAAAGTGATCTTGAGAAATGTCATTTCTGGTAATTAAATAATCTTTCCTAAAATTCTTCAAGATATATCAATAGAGATAGAGAGCCCCTTCTAATTACTCATGGTTTCACACCTGTGCATCTATGAAAGCAATTTAGTTTGGCAATGTGACCCTATGGAGTGCTAGAATTTTTCAGGGTATCACTGAACTGACCCATCACAAAACTCACTATCATTCCCCTCCGATGCCAGTGCCAAAGTACACATTGTCTTATGTTCTGAATCCTGGTAAAAATCATTAATATCTGCCTAGTTCTAGAGAAAAAGCCCTTATTTTACTTGTCTCTCCCCTTAGAACCTGATTATTTAATTACACTGTTTTATAGATTTCATAACCTTCTTTCCAGTTCATTCAAATAGTGGCCCCCACAGCCCTGGGCTATGATCCAGGTTGCAGACCTTTGTGACCTGCAGTACCCACACCTTCTAAATGCTCATTTCCCTCTCCTTTGTCTCTTAACCTTCAGCCTGTTCTTTACAATGAAATAGCCAATATGATCTTCACCATTCTATGTATCTGATGGTGACATTCTATTGCTCAAAAAAACTTCAATGACTTCTTGCTCCTTGGGAGGAGCTCAAGGTACCTTCACCTTGTTCTTATCTCTGAAGCTTCATACCTCACTGGTCACCACCTTGGATTCTTAACTCCTTGACATACCAAATATTTTCTTTTCTCCAGCTAGCCATGCTATCTTCAGCTTGTGAGACAGTGTCCTCTTTGTGTATGATGCACTTATTCTCCCCACCTCACTCCTGCCTTACCTGACCTTGTTCATGCTCATTGTTCAGGTTCCCCTCCACAGTGCCATCCTTGAAAGAAGCCTCCACCATCCTCTTCTCTCAGGTCTGATTAAGTGCCCCTTTTCTGCGTTCTGATCGTTGTGGCCATGTTTAGCTGTCTTCTTCACGAGACTTAAGCTCTGTAGGAACACAGGTCACGTATTTCTTATTTAGGATTGTGAAGAAAGAAACAGAAGAACAAAACCCACAAAAACAACAGTGAAACACTGTGAGGGGCTCATCTAGCATTCAACAAACATTTGTTGAAGTAAAATTAAACTTCATGTATTCTGCCTTTCCATGCAATAGTAAATATGCCGAATGCTAAGTCAAATGCATCTATCGCTTCCCTGCTAGCCTGGGATTGGCTGAGACTGTGGTTATCTTGTTACTTGTCAGTGTGTCTCAGAACACAAAATGTATCAGACTCACTGTTGTGTGCTAGACAAATACTTACTTAGTGCTGGTACACAGTAGGCATTAAAGAATAATTGCTTTCAAAGGAGCCATACAAAACATTTTTTCATTAGCTTATTACTAGGAGCACAAGAACAATCAAACTTTTACAAACAAATAATATTCTTAAGTAATTTGTCAGAATATAGTTTTTAATTTCCCCAGTAAAGTTGCACTTGTCAGCCCTAGGTTTCTGTATTCTGAGACCTCTTTATAATATGCTGAGAGAACAAATGGACTGTAATAATAATAATTTAATTTTTATAATTGGTGTCATGCTTTTACCTAGCAGACCATTACAATATCAATTGGCTATTAAATAAATGTATTGTCCAAACATACTTTACATTAGAATTATGAACAAAGCCTCAGTGTTTTCACATTTCAGGCCTACGTTTTTGCCACATTTTGATGTCATGTACCACTGCATTGGATTTTCATTATTCTTGAATGTGGCTCCTTGAAATGTCAGATTCTAAGTTATTTGCTTTTCTTTTTGTAAGGTTGGAGGCACCAGAGGGAGGAGTGAGCACATAGGACACTGATGACATGCCAAAGTCCCTGGCTGCTGCCCTCTCCCAACCTGAAAAATATGCCTTAGGCTAGCCAATCCTCGCGCCGTTGTAAATCTAAGCTCTGCCTCCCCCTACCTTCTTTAAAAATTCACTGCCTGCCCTGCTGAGTGCGACTTCCCCAGCCTCCATTTCTGTAGACTAAGGAACATTGCCCAGGAACTGCACTCAAATAAAGTGCCTGGCCCTTTGTTGCCTCTCGTCGCCTGCTTATTTCGGCTAGAATTTATCTTACATTTGGTGCTGAAATCCCGGGAAGGAATGTGAGTGCGGGGCCACTTCCGGCCACCGGCAGCCCTGCCCCCTTCTTCCCTGACCCAGGACCTCAGCCTGTTCTCTGCTGTGTGGACTATTTTCCGGTGAGTCCCTCAGTTTCCCCTGGTCTGTTTCCCTTCCTAACTCCATTTCACCTGGTCTGTTAGAAATCGTAGCTACGTCCAGGTTGGGGCATCTGGCCCACCCTCTGCGGGCATCTGGCCCGCCCCTGGCCCTGCGGTGTGAGAGACATCCCTAACCCAGGCCCCAGGACGTCTGTGGGCATCCGGCCCGCCCCTGGCCCTGCGGTGCAAGAGACATCCCTAACCCAGGCCCCAGGATGTCTGTGGGCATCCGGCCCGCCCCTGGCCCTGTGGTGTGGGAGACGTCCCTCAACCAGGCTCCCAGGATGTCTCCCCTGACTTGGCGCACTTGGGATGCTGGGCACTCCTCTCAGCGGGATTAGTTGGGGGGTGACGCAGACATGGGGAACCAGCCCTCAAAAGCGGAGGCTCAGACCCCACTGCGGTGTCTCATTTCTAATTTGGCTACTCTATATTTGTTCTGGGAAGTTTGTAAATGGAAGCTAGTCTTTCTTTGCTCTGAGGCTGAGCCTCAGTATCCCTTGGACAATAAATCTCGCTGGCCCCCCAAAGGAACTTTCAATTTTGGCCTCCTCACCGACTGAATTAAAATTAATTATTGCCACCGGAGCGGAGAGTGGGGTGAAATCCCATATGTGCAGGCTTTTTGGACTATGTGTTCCTGGCCAAAACTTTACTTTAAGCGTTCAACTCAGGTTCTCCTGGCCCAATCTCCAGTTAGAAGATTGTCAGCCTCTTACTCTGCACAGTCCTTCTTCCTTTTCAGATCTGCCAGAGGGCCTTAGTCTCCCACCTCTCTCAGCTCGCTACCCCCACCCCTCTCCGCCACCATCTTTAAGTTCTTTGTCCTCCCCTGTGTTGCTGCCATCTTGAAGTCCTACATCCTCAACCACCCTGCCTTCCTGCTCCTCTCCTCTTCGGGGGCTGCACCACCCCCTCCCCCTCTCCTTCCACCTTCACCGCCCTCTTCCCCCACTGGAACACACTCCTCCCAGCCTCTAGTTCCGGAAGCCATGGACAGGAAGCTGAGAAGAGGGAAAGCAATTGGATATCAGTGACTCAAGTCTTTATATCGGTTTGTCTGTCTGCATATATGTTTTTATATGAAAAGTGTTGATAACTGTAGTCGTTATATCTCAATTTGTATGTTTGTGTGTCTAAGTGTGGAAATGAAAAATATTTTCCTACCTCCGGATGGTATTAATAAAAATTGATTTAAAAACAAGCACTTGTGAAAATTGGGCATTTTAAAACTTCCAGAAAATCTAATAAAAAATATTAAGCATTAATGCTAATTTAAGTTTAACTGAAACGGACATGTCCTTATAGTTATTAGCTGCCAAAGCTTATTTAAAGTCATTTAAATTGATGTTATCTGTTAAACATTTCAAGAAGATGCTTAAAGAAAAGCTTAACTTTGTCTAATGTTTAGTAAAAGTTTTGTAAGTAATCTAGCATGGTTGCTAAAAAATAAGTAAACAAGTATAGCAAATAAACATCTTAATAATGTATATATATGCAAACAGCCTGAGAATTTTTGTAGTAACCAAAATTCAAAGTTTGCTAAGTTATATAGACTTATTTTGTGCCTAATGAGAAATTGTGCTGTAAAGCACATTTCAAAAATGATAAAATGTTCATAAATTTGTCAATCTCTAAAAAATGCTAGTGTAACAGTTTACAATAGCCTGCTTCTCAGTGTTCACTAAAAATTAAGGTACCTAATGGTTTTAAGTTCTAATTAAAACTACTTAAAGTAATAAGGAGAACATTTCTGCATGCTGAAGAATGTGTCTTTTGATAAAAGAAAGTAACTTTGTTCTAAAGTACAGCTGTTTATTTAGAGGGAGAACCTAAATGTAAAAAGAAGGTTGTAGAAAGTTTGTAGAAGAATTTAATATGGTCATGCTATATAAAATTAAAGCAAATGAGTCTCGGTATCAAGTACATAGCAAAATTAAGAATTTTGTTTTCAGTTAAAAAAACAAAGTTTTCTTAACTGTTAGTCTGCTCTTAATATTAAAAGATTGCAAAGGGTTCTCTGTTTTATCAAAGCAGTTTCTCATGCTTAAAGTCTCAGTGAGTTGTCAGAGTATTTAAGAAAATGAGATCTTAATATTAAAAGGACTAAAAGCTAAACTTTGCTAACAACTGTATAACCTTCTTTATTTGTCTTTGAGGTATTTTGTTGTCATTCTAGTTAAATGGATAAGTATTGCTTCATGGCAACCTAAAACCTTATTTAAGCAAATGCCAAAGAAACTTTCTTTTGACAACTTGCCAAAATCAAATGCAAAAAGGTGCTTTTACCTCTAGTTAACTCTGATATTTTCCAGAGGGCCCCTAGAACATGTCAGAAGAATTTTTTCTCATTGGAGAAAGTATTTAGCTAATTTGGCTTATGTATCTGATATATAATTACGTGATTAATTACCTGGAAAGCACTGTCAAAAGAATGATGCTAAACTTTGTTACTAAATGTTTTGTTACAGAAATATCCAAATTTCTTTATGTCAACTGTCTTACAGTAAGCTCTCATCAGATCTTTAACCATTGTCATTTGTAAGTCTTTTGTCATCTATACTCACTGTTTTATTACTCCTAAACTAGTAAAAAACTAGATTTCAGCAGAACAAGTATTAGATACATAAAATTAAGTGAACTAAGGAAGATGATTTTGTAGTTTTTTGTTTCAAATGTTGTTGATAAAGTGTTTTAAGCTTTTCCTCTTAAGCTGACAACAGTTTAGTAAATGACTGCCTTTATAAGCAGAATTGAAACTTTATCTTTCTCTCTACCTGATCCCTCCAGAATTTGAAAACTCTCAGTAACTATTTTTATATTTCATGGCGGTATGTTTATTTGCACAAGTTCAATAAGAATCTGCTTTCCTTGTAAGAAGACCAATTAAAAACACTGGTTATATTACCAAGGCTTTGACTAGAACGTCATACCTGAGAGACACGTGCGTAAACTCAGATATGAACAGACAGCTTTAAAGAACTAAGATTGACTGACTTTATAAAGCCAACAAAACCCCTTAGAAGAACTGGCCTGGTACCTTGCTAACAGAGTTCCCAGCAGCCTTACCAGGTGAGTAAGGAAAGTCACTTCCTGGCAAGTGCAAGAACCTCAAAATGTCATGGAAAGCTCAAAAAAAAAAAGAATTCACCAAAATGTACAGGTACTGCAAGCACAACATGATGGCAAGTCTGGCTTGGCTGTCTAGTCTTGAGAAGCCTTTAAAAGTTCAATCTGAAATTCCTTACAAAAAGTTCCAGCAAAGCACATTTAAAAAATCCCACGTAATCAATTACTCTTCTTGCTGCACTTATGCAAATAATCAAGCCAACTGTTAATTATTTTCTTAATCTAACTACTTCTAATAAAAATGAAGGTAATTTTAGAGAAAAATATTGTTTCAATAATGCAGTCTTATCTACACTAAATCCTAATACTAGTCATTGAGATGTAAACTCAATCCAAAATTCTAGTTTCCCCATGATACCTGGCTATAATTCTCAATTAGACTCTTCATATTTCTAGTTCTCATATTCAGCCATGCATTCTTAATCTCATCAAGTTTGTCCTTCCAGAATAGAAGCGCCAACCTTCTGAGGCCCTCTCAACTGACCAGTGATAGAAATCTAGCTGCACCCTTTACTGCGCCCCCTCTCAGCATGAAGCAGCCAGAGCAGTCATTGCCCCTTTTCCCTAGCAGGAGCTAGAGTCTCTAACTGTAGAAGAGAAAAT